TGTATAGCAATTATAGATGTCTTAATCTTACAAATGGATTTCTGCAGGTGGAATCCCAGCAAAGTCTATGGAGGCATGTCCAGGTGTCATGGGATGAGATTATAGAAGGAGAATTGCTTGGTTTTTTTTTCTCATTTCCGCCTTCCAACATGCCTGTTAGAATGTTAAAAAAAATTACAACTATCAAATAAGTTTGTCTAAATAAAACAAGCTGTTATTATAGACTTCTAAGTGTTCAACCAACTAACTGTTATGTGGATTCTTGACTAGTTTGCCAGGGGGAGGGGTATACTCTTGGCTTGCGTTTAGAGCTTTAGCACTTCAGGCTCAGGTCTCTCCAGATTAGGGTTGCCAAATCGACTTACCTCTGCCGGCGGGGGACTTTGTGCTGGCTCCCGGCATACGCGCCGCATGCACATCACAGGGAAGTGACATCATGACGCCGGGCACGCTGCGGGCAGGGCACAGCCATTTGAGGGGAAAACATAGAGTTTTCCCCTCAAATGGCAGTGCCCTGCCCCCAGCGTGCCCGGCGTCATGACGTCACTTCCCTGTGACGTGCATGCGGGGGTGGGGTTTCCCCCGGGGCCCGATTCCGCGGGGGCGGAAATCGGGCCTCCAAAGCGGGGGGAAATCTCCCCCCCGGGGGGGATTTGGCAGCCCTACTCAAGATGTACCATATAAATCTTTTAAATAAAGTCCACCCCCCAATATTTTCCATCTGTCCACAGTTCTACCCCTGATTCCAAGGCCTACAAGTCTCTGCACTGTTTAGCAATGTTCCTACTTTCTCTTAGTTGGAAACACAGGGAAAGGGCTCAATGACACATATCCCTCCCTTTGTAATCTGCCCAGCAAAGGATGCTTTGGCAGAGCCCTCCCTTGTTAGACTCCGCAGCTGCTTAGTTCCCTGTAGTAGCCAAGACTGAAGGAACTGATCGTGACCATCAGACTCCATAACAAGGGCAGGAGCCTTGGAGCCCATTGCCTATGACTGTGTAGGAGTGAACTAGTGGGTGGGGCCAATGCTGCCTTGTTCAGTTGCCAGCCTGGTCCCTACTAAAAACCAGCCACTGATTAGGGAATCTAGGGCTATGGTCAGAGAACAGGCTTAGCGTGGTCCAGCCCTGCCCCTAAATAATCCAGGGTTTTTTGTAACTGAGAGTTTTGATCACACATCCCACCCTTAACCTGCTTCACAGCACGGTCATTCCGTAGTCAATGGATCAGATCACTGCTGTGCAGCAACCATGAAGTTGACAGGCAGCTTTTTAAATCATTTGTCTTCTGAGCATGCGTGTAAGCACATATTGGAAGCAACGCTTCAAACTCCTGGCAGGATGGCGGCAGCTGGTGGTCAAAGGGATTGCTGAAGGAGGCTGCTGGGATATGTAGCGCAGCATGGGGAATGTTTTTGAAACTGTGTGTTGGAGGTTTTCTTAAGAAAAAGACAGTCTTGAGAAGCTCCAGAGAGAGAGGTCTGTAAACTGTAAAAAATAAATGCACAAGCGGTACTTGAAGACCCTGGGGTGATTATGCACTTATGCACACATTTTTACCTGATCAAGAAAGGGGGGGCAGAAATGGACGGGAAGGTTCACAGGGAGGGGGGCAGAAGTGGATGGGAAGGTTCCCAACCAACTTGAGTTCGCAACGGGAGTTCAGAGATCTGGAAATGCGGGGTGAAAGCGCTGACATCTGTAAAGTCCAGACTTTCCCCAGTGCCTAATAACTCCAGTTCAAAGGCGGGTCAGAATGGGGTGTCAACAACTGGAGAATGGGAGGCAGACGTTGCTATCTGATCGTGCACTTTAAATCCGGAAAGGAACAGCAACAACATCGGGTCAAATTGCTCATCTGACCACAGCCTAGGTTATTCTAATGGGAAATGTCAGTACGTGGGGAAAAAACCAACAAGATGTTCTTCACTGATGTTGGGTTGCATCTGATGATATGGAACCACTAATCCTCATCAAAAGCTGATTCTTATTGCTGTACTTTTAGCAAAGTGGGAGAGAACAACTAAGTGACCATGTGGTGTGGTGGTTATGGTATTGGATGAGGAGTGGACAGGCCCAGGTTCAAATCCCTGCACAGTCACAAAGGTTAGTGGGTGACCTTGGGCCACTCTTAGTTACCCCAAAGAGGAGGGAAGAATTCTGTATGAGATCCTTGAAGGAAGGGAGCGGATAAAAATATGATAGCAGTGCTTCAGTAGGAGAAGGGAAACCAAAAAGCTGCTGACAAACAGAACAGTCACCTGAAACCACAGGAAAGGTAGGGTATGAATATTTTAATGAGCTTAATGAATGAACACAATCCTGTTTTTAGAAAAGTAATTGCAAAGGAAAACTGTCTCTGGGTTTTGGATTTTTTAGAAAGTTTTGATGAGCGTATGAATAATGAGATCTTTCAGAAGTTTCAGATGAAGGCAGTGTTACTTCACAAGTATCAGTCAAAATAAGTGGCTGAAGTTCAGTTTGGCCATAATGAGCCAATGGGAGGTTGTTCATGACAGGCACAGACTTTGTTGTACTCATGTGCTCCTTCCTTCCTTGTTTGCACAGCACATCAAGACCGAACAGAGAAGTCTTGTGCTAACTCCAATTAGTCACAGCATCCAACAGTAGGTATCGTAACTGAGGGTAGTTTCTGTCCCAGTAGCCAGTTTAGAATTCCAGTTTAGGAGGAAAGAAACGAACTTCAGTTACTTAAGGCACCTGTATTTGGACAGTGTGACTAACTGGAGTTCTTCAATCGTGGCCCACAGTGCAAGGCAAGAAGGAGCACATGAGCCTGGCAGTTAACCAGAGTCATGCCCAGTTTGTCCTGATGTATGAACTGAGCCTTCTGTTAATATGTAAACTTCGGCAAAGCAGGGTTTGAATTTACTGGGACTGTCATGTGAGCATGCACATTCCTACGCCTCCCTCTCCCATGGACTCAGGTTATCTCAACCCTTCTTCTTTTTCAACAAACTATAGTGTGCTGTTACATGCAAATTGCACAAACTGTGGTGTAAACAAGCCATAGTTTGCATGCAGGCAGGTACTACAGTCAACACTTTGAGTATTATTTGTAGTTCTGGTTTCCAGATAAACTGTAGTTTGCATAAACCGTTGCTCACATATAATGGCAAGCTATCATGCTTCATATGCTTTTCCAAATAGTTAAATAACAAATGATAAATAATAATAATAAATGATAAAATACAAGCTGAAATGCAAACTGTAGTGGAAAGTTTGATCATGTTGCAACCAACTTACGGTGACCCCTCATGAGGTTTTCAAGAGGTGTTCATAGGTGGTTTCCCATCCAAATACCAAACCTGGGCTGACCCTGCTTAGTGTCATGCTTGTGTCATCCTGGGATATCCAAGGAGCAAACTAGATAGTGACAAAAGATCTTGCAAAACAAGCTGATTCATCCAAATGAGTGCAGTGTGCTTTAATTTAAAAAGGTTTTAACTGTACTCATGTAAAGTTTTATTAATTTTAGCTTCAAGAGTAGATCTTGTTGTAATGGATTCCTTATTGCAATTTAACCTATTTATTCTATTGAACGTTAACCTCATTTTTAATTAGTTTTAATTGTGATCTCTGTTCATTCGTGTATTGCATTCTCTTCAGCCTACTGACACCTCTAGTTAGTTTCTATGTTGCCCAGTCTAAAAAGATGTAGCATAACTGAAAATTAGTTGAATCCAGTATAATAAAGGTTATGGAGTGGCTTCTGTAGACAGATATAAAGATTTTTCAGCTTGAAAAGAAGGAGAGTGGAGGATAAGGGAGTTATTTAAGGAGGAATAGTATGGGAAAAGTGAATCACATATTAGATTAGATGCCCCTTACTCCATGTATAAAGGTAAAAGCAATCACGTAGAAGGTGCAGTTTATTTATTTTGTAAATGTGTATGTGGATTTTCCAGAGACCTGCATGAGGTGCCTACAAACTATAAAATAATTTGACTTAATTATCTTCTTAGATGTGAGATGACAATTGGTTGAAGGTATCAACTTGATTAAATTTGGTCTCTCTTACAGAAAGGTTCTGTGAGTTAACATTGCAATCTGAGTCAGTGTGGTATAAAAGTTAGAGCAGCAGTTCCTGCCCTTTAATCCGCTACTGCTCCATACTCACCCAGATACAATGTTATGGGAGAGCTATGGTGGTCACAGTTGCAAGTTCATGATTTCTTTATTTCAGAGCTCTCCTTGGAAGCCTGTCTGAGAGCCAGACCACACGCGCACAGTTGTGCAGATCCAATTTAGTTATCAGGCACAGGGGAATCTGATTCAGATCAGGACTACAATGTGCGGGGATGAGGTTTAAAAGCCTTCCCAACCATGTGATTTTCCTGACCTGAAACAGCCCTTGGGGAGCTTT